AGCACACATGCATATTAGGTACCAATCGCTTCGTCTTGATCACCAGAATAAATTCTGACCCTTTGAAGGACCAAGAAACACCTGCTCAAAGCGTGGCAAGCGGTTATTCAGTGATATTGTACATTATTTTATTTCTAAATTTAGTTAGTTCTGGTGATTCTATTTTACATAAAACTTGAGTCGATAAAACGTTTTGTGTATGCTCTGGTCGATTCAAAAAACAAAACCCATTTTTTGTAGTTAAGAGAAATTTTGCTACAAGATGTTCGTTGTTAACCTCTTCAACTACCCCTGCGTACCATTGATCATAAATTACTACGATCCAATCGCCTTTGGAGAACTTAGTTGTCGAATGAAAGTCATTTTAAACTTGATTTTCGGGTAAAAATCGCGAAAAAATGAAAAAAAACGTCGATTTTAGGGACTGAATAACTACTTGCCAGGCTTTGAGCAGGTGTTTCTTGGTTCTTCAAATGGTCAGAATTTCTTCTGGGGACCAAGACGAAGCGATTGGTACCTGATATTTACGTGTTCCAACTATACAGGTCTCTTTTAATCTATTTTCGGATAAAATAGCGAAAAAATGAAAAGAAAAACGTCGATTTTAGTGACTGAATAACCGCTTGCCACGCTTGGAGCAGGTGTTTCTTGGCTCTTCAAAGGGTCAGAGTTCCTTCTGAGGACCAAGACGAAGCGATTGGTACCTGATATGTACGTGTGTTCCAAGTATAGAAGACTCTTTCACTCGTTTTTCGAGGCAGATCGCTAGAAGAATGAAATAGCTTTAGCGAACAAATTAGTTTGTTGTTGGAAAAAACTTAAATTTGCCTTTTTTTGAGGCTCGCACCTGAAAACATGTTTTTTGGTATCAACCTACAGAAAAAAATTGTTACTGCGGGGTACGGGCAGCAAATTGCAATATCACCATATTTGGCTCCAGTTAAGGTGTGAATTTTTGTAGAATTCCTCTAATATATATATAATATATATATATATATATATATATACTATATATATATATATATATATATATATATATATATATATATATATATATATATATATATCTTCTTCTTTGTCAACCATTTTCCATCCACTCCTGAATGTAGGTCTCTCCCAATTGCTTCCATCTTTCTCTATCTTGCGCCAATCTAATCCACTGTTTGCCTGCCACCGCTCTTATGTCATCTACCCATCTTTTTTGAGGTCTTCCCATGCTTCTTGTTGTCGTCCTTGGTCTCCATTCTAGAATTCTCCGTGTCCACCTGTTGTCATTATATCGGGCTACGTGACCTGCCCAGCGCCATTTCATTTTTGTAATTTCTTCCACAATATCCCTAATCTTCGTTCTACGTCGTATCTCGGTGTTTCTAATCTTGTCTCTTAGTGATATTCCAAGCATGATTCGTTCCATTGCTCTTTGCGTTGTTTCTAATTTTTTGGCAGATTTTTTGGTAAGTGCTACTGTCTCCAAGCCGTAGGTACAAACAGGTAGTATGCATGTGTTATACACTTTTTTCTTTAAGTTTATAGGAATGGAGGTGTTTTTCAAGATATGTGCTAGTTTGCCGAAAGCGCCCCAAGCCAGTTGTGTTCTTCTTTTAATTTCAGCATCTTGATTTGGTTTTCCTAGTTTGATAACATGACCTAGATATACATAATGTTCCACATTTTCTATGGTATGATTTTGTATTGTTATATTTGTCTGGTCTCGGCTCAGTATTTTTGTTTTGCTGTAATTCATTTTTAAGCCTACCGCTCCTGAAACTGCATTTAATTGTTGTAACATATCATTTAGTTCTTGGATATTATCGGCTATTAAAACTATGTCATCTGCGAATCTCAAATGGTTTAAGTATGATCCGTCGACGTTGATACCCTTATTGTTCCATTCCAGTTTCTTAAAAATATCTTCTAGAGCAAGAGTAAATAGTTTGGGAGAGATGGTGTCTCCTTGTCTTACTCCCCGTTGTAGTCTTATGGGATTAGTTTTTGTGCTTTCGTCCAGTTTTATATGCATTGTGGCATTTTCATATATGTTTTTAATTATGTTAATGTATCTTGAATCTATGCGTGCATTTTCTAGAGATTCAAGCACTGCCCATAATTCGATGGAATCGAATGCTTTGTGGAAATCGACGAACGCCATATGAATTGGAACATTATACTCGGTGCATTTTTCTATCAGTGTTCTTACGGTGTGCAAGTGGTCTATGGTATTAAAATGTTTTCTGAATCCAGCCTGCTCGATAGGTTGATAGAAATCGAGCTTATGTGTTAGGCGGTTGGTTATGATTTTAGTAAGTAATTTATACAGATGTGATAGCAAGGATATTGGTCGGTAATTCTCGATGTTTGCTCTGTTTCCTTTCTTGAATAATAAAATGACCTCGGAGTTGTACCATTCTTGAGGAATCTTTCCTTCATCAATTACTTTATTAAATAAAACATTTAATACCTGTTCCATTTTTCTGCCACCAATTTTCAACATTTCAACTGTAATCTTATCCTCTCCCGGACATTTATTCGTTTTAAGTTGATTTAGGGCCATTCTTATTTCATAGTCGGTTATGTCCGGTATTTCTTCTGAGCCGGTGTTAATTATTGTTCGTTGAGTACGTCGTTGTTGTGGTTGTGTATTTACCGAGTATAGTTTAGTGTAGAATTTTTCAATGGCCTCGCTTATTTCCTTTCTGTCTCTGACGGTGACGTTTTTCTCATTTTTTATTTCTATGATTTTTGTTGTGCCGCTTGAGTTTTTTGCTTTGAGTACTTTCATGTTGCAGTTATCTTGTATTATATTTTTTATTAGATTGTTATTATAGTTTCTATGATCGTTCCTGATTTCTTTCTTCACATTTTTGTTTAAACTTTTAAAGCTGTCCGAAGTTCGATCTGTTCTGTTTCGTCTTTCTTGGAGTAGTTTAATTGTATTAGGTTGGAGTTTAGATGTTTTGGCTGTTTTCGTGTTTGAGCAAATTTTCTTAACCGATGTTGTTACAGTTACTTTTATTTTAGTGGCTAGTCCGTTTATATCCAATTGTTTCAGTGTCTCTATTGATTTTAGTCTTGTGCTTAGTTCTTTTTGGTATTCCGTTTGTTTTTGAGACAGGACATCGGTGGTTGGGTATCGTTCTCGTTTAATAAGTTTGCTTCGTTCTACTCTCGTCTGTATTTTAATGTTCGCTCTAACCAATCTATGGTCACTCCCGGTATAGAATTTGTTTAGTACTGTCACGTCGGTGCATATGTTTTTGTTATTGGAGAGTATGTAGTCTATTTCGTTCTTAGTTTTCTTGTCTGGGCTGATCCATGTCCATTTACGTTGTTTAGATTTTTTAAAGAAAGTGTTGAGACAAAATAAATTTTCGTTGTTTAAGTAGTTGTACAACATCTCACCCCTTTCGTTCCTGTTGTCCAGCCCAAAGCGACCGATATATTGTGTGTCGCCGTCTTCTTTTGTACCAATTTTTGCATTAAAATCTCCTGTGATTATTACGAAGTGTGATTTTTCTTGGTTCCTTGCTGTTGTCAGATCCTCGTAGAATGATTCAGCTTCCTCGTCTGTTGAGTTTCCTGTCGGTGCATATCCATGTATTATCTGTAAGCTGTATCTGCTGTTTAAAGCGATATATATATATATATATATATATATATATTATATATATATATATATATATATAAAAGAAAAATTCTTTTGATCAACGAGGATATCGGTCAAAGGAGAAATAATACAAGGAAATCACAGTTCCATTCTTATATTTGAAGACGTTTCTCTTGTGGTGTTCACAAGCTTCATCAGTTCAAATCTAAAAAATATTACAATGATGGTAGGTAATATTATACAAAAACATGGAAAATTAACTTACGAATGTAGAGTGAAGAATAAAAGGTGTTAAACAAACACACCATTCCCTTTGGTAACTGTGGTCAAAACATTAAATTGTTGGTAAAATTGTAGCTTGAAAGTTTCTGTGTAGTAGCATTCGTGTTTTTCAAAGCGAAAAAGTTTGATTTACAAATGAACGACAGAATAAAAAACTACTACCAAGCTTACTAAAAAACTCGTCAACATTACACGTAAAAAACTAACTTACAACAGTCAAATGTAGAAATGAAATAACAAAGTGACTAAAACGCACTGGCACAGAGCTGAATTGTTATAACAAACAAATTTTGAACTTCACTTCAGGGCGCATTCACAAAACTTTCGTTTTTCGAGTTTGAATCCGTTAGATGGAAATGCGCTCTAAAGTGAAGTTCAAAATTTGTTTGTTATAACAATTCAGCTCTGTGCCAGTGCGTTTTAGTCACTTTGTTATTTCATTTCTACATTTGACTGTTGTAAGTTAGTTTTTTACGTGTAATGTTGACGAGTTTTTTAGTAAGCTTGGTAGTAGTTTTTTATTCTGTCGTTCATTTGTAAATCAAACTTTTTCGCTTTGAAAAACACGAATGCTACTACACAGAAACTTTGAAGCTACAATTTTACCAACAATTTAATGTTTTGACCACAGTTACCAAAGGGAATGGTGTGTTTGTTTAACACCTTTTATTCTTCACTCTACATTCGTAAGTTAATTTTCCATGTTTTTGTATAATATTACCTACCATCATTGTAATATTTTTTAGATTTGAACTGATGAAGCTTGTGAACACCACAAGCGAAACGTCTTCAAATATAAGAATGGAACTGTGATTTCCTTGTATTATTTCTCCTTTGACCGATATCCTCGTTGATCAAAAGAATTTTTCTTTTGAAACTTACTGCATTGTATATATATATATATATATATATATAATATATATATATATATATATATATATATATATAAACTTTTCAGTTAGTCTAGTGTTTTCTTTTTCTAGGTTTTTTCAAAGCTCCTTATACTTTTCAATATTGTCAGAGTTAATGAATTTTAATACAAATATTTAATGGTACATTTTAACGAAAGCTATAAAATATAAAACTCTTAGAAAACTAGTTAATTATTTCTTACCTTCAGGCGTAAGAGCCAACATGCAGAAGGGTTCTCCTCTAACGACTACTTCTTGTAAAATAATTCCAAAAGAATAAACATCTCCTGGCTGTGTGCCTCTTTTACGGAGGCTACTATGACGCAATAGCTCTGGAGCAGTCCATAAAAGCTCTACAATTAAGATAGAAACAAGTTAATTAGTTAGTTTTAATTTTTTTATTCTAAGAAATGAGATAATTAAATGTTCTTTATTTTTAAGCTATAATTATGTAAACGCAAGGCACAATTTTCAATTATTAGTCTCTTAAGAACAACTTTTTTTTATTTTAAATATATTTATCACTGTGTATTTAATATAAAAGCGTTTTATAATTACAAATATAAACATATTGTACTTCGGATTTTTTCCATTAGAATTTTCCTGTTATTCTGAAATTTTTTTATTTGATTTCTGTTAAAGTTTTACTTAATACTTAATTTTTTACCCTCCAATACATTTTTTTTTTAATAACGCATCGACCACGCAGGGTAATTAGCGTATTTAGATTAATGTTACAGTTGATACAATTAGCGTATTGTATTTCATATTCGTGATGTGTTCTTGCCAGGAGATATAAAAATTCTAGATTGTCTGGCTGCCTATTGTGCTAGTTCATTTAGAATTAGAAAGAGTAATGCTAAATGCACCTTCACTACGGAGGAGAAGACGCGTACAAACCAGATGGACTGAATGCCTAGGCTAGGCGCATACACATCGAATTTGGATGGTCGATAAAAGTTCGACCGAACTTTTGTCGGCGCACACTACACGATATTTATTCGATGACGTTTTTTAATCCACAAAGGTTTGTTGTGTGGAGTACACAAAATCACAATGAGCAAAACAGAACCACGTAACAACACGGAGCGACGTACCTTGAGCAGTGTCAAACAAACGCAACTGGTCCTCTGGTGGGTCGATAAAGATCGATGTGTGTGCGCACGGTCATTTGATACTATACGCCTTGGAACGACGGCAACGACCACGGCAGCCGTGAATGCAGTGACATTCATCGATCGCCACACGACCATCACACGACATCGATGCCGTGCCGTTTGGCAATCGATGTGTGTGCCCGCTCACATTTGTTTCTTCGCGCCACCAAAGGAATTTGTTCGGTCGAACTTTTATCGACCGTCCAAATTCGAAGTGTGTGCGCTTAGCGAAAGTGTGTTAGCCGTAACTGGATGCAAACCGCATTAAGACAGACAGATGGAACGATCTGGGAAAGATATATGTTCAGCAGTGACCGCGTACAAGTTGATGATGATGTTGATAAGAGTTTACCCCAATTACATTTTCAAAGAATCATAAAAAATTGAGATATCAAAGTTATTAATTACTAGTGCACGACATACAAAATACTAAACTTAACATAAACACATCCTCACATTGCTTTTGCAGTTTTTACTTTGTAAATAATATAAGGATAAATAAATGCGTTCTTACTTATTAAATGTGCTAATTTTTAAATATAATACTCCTCCCTGACACCGCTAAGGAAGTTGAGTTATGTAGCAAGATAATCTGCTATTTATTGTGCCTACAGTATATAGTATAAATTTATCAATTATTTACTTAAAAAATAAAAACTTTAACAATTTGGATAATTTTATTTAAACATTGGTTTTAAGCGAGCTCTAAACGTAGCAACAAATTTGTTCAACTAGTTAGTACAGTTAAGTATGACATAAAAGTTTGTTCCCTACACAGTTTGTTTTTCGATAATAGATGTTTGTAACATAACGTTTACAAACAAAGTTTGAACGTTTATGTGTAAATACTACATATGTAGTCGAGGTGCCAGGCGACATACTGTATCACTCATACATAACAGGCTACAATTTTCAGGATAGCTTCATAAGACCTCGATCCCCAAATATCTCTTGGGATATTTTCTGTACCGGGTGCTTTTTACAGCAACAATTTTCAGGTTTTAAATTTGTTGGTGATCTTAAATATGTATTGCACCACACACTGCCTAAATAAATTGTCCTTTTAATGTGTTGCAATAGTTCTTCTTTAGATGGAGGCATACTTGATGCATTGAGATCTCTTAACTGAGCTTTTGTTGCCATTTCATCGTGATTTTTGTTTTCAAAAGCCTTCTCGAAGAGGTCAACTCGCCCCATGTTGACGTTTTTGTTTTTTATGGAATAAATTTTACAAATAAATTCTTCAATGACTTTAAATGTTGGGTTTGAAGTATTCATTTCAGATGGAGGGATTCTTAAAAGATCCAGGAAGTCTTCCTGGTATCTCTCGTTATTCTTTAAAATATCAAATGGTATCTTCTTTCCTGTTCTATAAAATGCAGGGTTATAATCATTGCCAGTAAATACATGACATACTGTTAGGGCTCCTGTCATTTGCTCTCCATAATTTTGGTAAATATCATTGATATTAAAATATTCCTTTTTTTGTTGGTTAACATATCTATTATTACTTACACATTTATTATTAAAAATTCCATATTGGATAACATAATTATTATAGGTATGTCAAAATCGGTACAACGAACTGTTACTCGGTAGTCCGTGTTCATTTGGCACATATGGTGTACAATCTTTGTATCTGCTTCTTCATGTGTACAAGATGAATTATAATCTACAGATCTCTTCATTCCATTGTTGAAAACCTCATACACGTAACAATTATTCCCTTCTGACATCATATGGAATATTACCCTCTTCTCCTCTCAACTGATGTTCATGGTCTTTAATAGTTGATGAGTTGTATTTGTCAAATATAATATGAACTTCTTTTCTTTCAAAGAGTAGAAATTTAAAAATGTATTTAGAAATTGCTGCTTACTTTTGAGGTAATCTTGTTAAAGTATGTAGCAAGTAAAATCCATCACAAATAGTAATGTCAGATACTGGAGGATCAATAACTGCATTTTGGTTATTCTGCAATTCCTTTAGGATAACAGATTTCAGAGTTTTGCAAATTGTGCAATTTACATGACATAAAGAAAATGGAACAGGGGTCAAAGGATAACTTAATACTTTTTTCTAAATCAATATTATTATGCAATGCTGCGTACAATAATCGTCCAAAAATATTTCTTTCAATTTTTATTTCTTGTACTTTCTCATTCTATTCGACTTTTTTCGTATTTTTAAAGCAAAGTTTATGATGCTTGTAAATTTTCTAAAATGCAATTAAGACGCTGTTTATTGCCTATACTTTCAACGGATAACAAGAAATTGTAAATATCGTTGGAAACTAGTCTGTTTGTTCAGAATATATGTTGTATAAATGATCTTCAGATAAGTCATGTTAGAAAGGATTAGTACATTGGTTAATTATATATAACAAATCATCTAGGTTTTTTTTTTAGATTTTATTATTGATGATTTTCGTAAATCTTTAGTGATATGATCTCCTGAACGTAAGTTTAATAAATACATACATAATTATACATACAATTTCAGCGAAGGGTACGACGAAACGTGTCCGACTGAAAAATCGGAAAAAGATTCTTGTCCGTCAATTCTACATTTGTAAACTACGAGATTTTTTAAAACAGCTTTAAAAAAAATTAGCTTGTTATTTATAAACAGATGTATTTACAATTTTAATGTTCACACATTCTACAAAAATAGTAATCTCGACTGTATATTTTTTTATTTTTTGCATAAAAGGCCCTTTTTTGTCGGAAAATTCATTGATTGAGTTGTACTCATTTAAAAACTAAAAATCATAACAAAAAAACGTTATTAATAAATTTCCACAGACCCGTGGAAAAGCCGATTTTCACTGTCGGACGGAAAAATCGGTAAGTACATTTTGTCGGACAATATAAAACTAATATTTTTCACGTTTTTTTGTTAACGATACAGAGAAAGTCAGCTAGTTATTACTAAATTATTTTGAAGTTGTTTTTTTGGTATATTTAGTTTGGTGGACTCCCACGGGAGAGCGCCAACCAAACTGGCGTGGCAAGTAGCACATAGCAAGTAGCACGCGTCTAGCATGTTTCTTAAAATGTAACCAATGAAAACGTATGATTAGAATGAATGACGTCACTATCATTTTAGTGTGCGCTGAATCATTCGTTTTCATTGGTTACATTTTAAGAAACATGCTAGACGCGTGCTACTTGCCACTTGCTACGTACCACGCCACTTTGGTGGGCGCTCTCTCTTATGGAACCAAAATTTTTGTCTGACAAGATTTGTTTCGGATATTTTACGAAGTCGACTTTTGTATTCATTAAACAGCAATACCCTATTAATAAATTTGATACATTACTTCAAAATGACCACTTTTAGATAAGCTGGAGAAAAAGCATTCGATACAGAAAGTATCCAAAGAGATATTTGGGGGTCGAGGTCTTATGAAGCTAATCTGAAAATTGTAGCCTGTTATGTATGAGTGATACAGTATGTCGCGTGACACCTAGACTAATACTTGTTTCAAATACAAGTTGAGTATTTTACACGTAATGATAAGTGTGTGCTGACAAGATTGAGTAACATGTTTGTGCAGATATGTATGATAGTGTAAAACAACTGTTTTTATGAATATTTAGATTTGAACATAACACGATGTCAGTAGCAAGTTGTTCGCCTAGACGTGCAATCATGAAAATATGTCGCAAAAGAAAAAATGTGCAGCCACTATAATTATAGACCAACATCACTACAAACACTATAAACAAAAAAAAAAGAACACAGTTGTGGTCAGAAGTGTGGTACAAGAAAAGGAGTCAGTTTTCGCATTTGAATTTGTTAGCCGAATAATGGGTTTCAGGAAAAACTTCTTCATCGAGTCTAAAGTCAAAAAACAACTTACTGTATTGAGACAAGCGATCTTTGCTGAGAAAAGATTAACAGTTACGCTACGTTTTCTTGCGACAGGAAGATCTTATGAAGATTTTAAATTTAGTTGTGCTAGATCTCCCCATTCGTTAAGAATAATTATTCCAGAAACATGTCAAGACGTCAAACAAGAATGAATATGTACAGGTAAAATTTAAAGATGCTTTATTGGTAGTGTTTGTAAAAACAAATAATAAGAAAATAAAATATAGAGTTCAGATTAACAAAACTAAAACAAAAAATAATTATAAATCCCACAACTGGGTATTGTCTTTACTTGGCATAGATGTACTTGCTGAAGAGAGTGGTGCAGTATAAATATTAGAACCCTCTTCACTTGTAATAGATGTAACTGAACCAGACAGATGTGCAATATTACATGAACTGTCTCCAAACAAATTCCTTGTTTGCCTAAAATTGGCAAATTGTGTGGTTGCGCCCATGGTAATTCCAATTTAATTCTCCAAAAACCAAAGTCTCGTTAATAATTTTTTTGCCATGGTTTGTTGGTCTTAAGCCATTGATGTGCAATATGATTTCCAAATGCGATATACTCGTCATCAACTTGATTGGTCACTTCATAAGCCTTCTGCAAATGCGGATTTTGTTTCTTTAAATCTATTTTTCGTTTTTTACTTATTGCTGTTTGCTTTGGTTCTTGAAGAACATCCTAAAATAATTTTTTTTCACGTTTCCAACGTGTCCACAAAAGTGGATTACAATTACGATATAAAAATTGTTCCGCCACCTTGTTGTGGCAGTTATTTCTTTAATCATAAAAGATTTCACAGCATTGTTATGTTAGCCATAGCTAATGCTTATTATGAATTTATTCTGGTACACATAGGAGCAAATGGAAGAGTATTTGATGGTGGTGTTATTGAGAACACTACTTTTAACAGAAAATTACAATCAGAAGAGCTTAATTTATCGACAGAATAACCGCTACTTGAAGAAGGGATAAAACTTCGGTTCCGTATGTCTTTGTGGCAGATGATGCATTTCCGCTGCCAAAGAACTTAATGAAACCATTTTCTATAAACAATTTAAGTAAAGAAAAACGTATATTAAATTATCGTCTGAGCCGTGTAAGAAGAATCATAGCAAATGCATTTGGAATATTAGCTGCAAGGTTTCGAATATTTCATACACCAATCTATACAAGACCTGCCATCATTGAAGATGTTAGCAACTTGCGTTTTGCATAATTTTTTACGTACAAATTCCAGACAAACGTACACTCCAGAAGGAAAAGTATTATGGCAAGATATAATGATATGAAGTAATACTTGTATCAACCAATAATTAAATGATTATTTTTATTACAATACAATATTTTTTTCTTAACCTGTGTCTGAAATTTGACCTTACCTGAATAATACTATCCTCATCATCATTTGAAGCTTTTGTTTGTTCCTCAAGAACGTCTATATTATCTGTACCCTCTCTAACCATTTCTTGATCTTCTGTCTTCTTCTTCAAGTGCCATCTTCCTTCCGAAGGTTGGCGATCATCAGGGCTATACGTATTTTCGAAACTGCTGACCGAAACAATTCGTTGTTGCTACAGCTATACCATTCCCGTAGACTTTTTCCTGCTATTTTCCCTTGCATAATTACTCGAAGCAGTTCATATCTTTCGCCTCTTGTAATGTATCCCAAGTATTGCAGTTTTCGTTTTTTGATCGTAAATATGACTTCCTTTTCTTTATTCATTCTTCTCAAGACCTCGACATTTGTGACTCTCTCTGTCCATGATATTCTCAGGATTCTGCGATATATCCATAGTTCAAATGCCTCTAATTTTTTGGTATCAATCTTTTTCAACGTCCATGACTCCATTTCGTAGACCAGCACAGAAAGTACGTAACATATCATCAGGCGAAGTTTCATTTCAAGGCTCAAATCTCTTTCGCAGAACACTCTCTTCATTTTAGTGAATATTGATCTGGCTTTTTCTATTCTCATTTTGATTTCTGCTTAGCTATCGTTGTCTTCATTTATAAAAGTGCCTAAATATTTGTTTTTGCTTACTCGATCGATAGTTTCATTGTGTAAATATAAATTTTGGACATTTTGTGTTGATTTCGATATTACCATAAATTTAGTTTCCTTTATGTTCAAAGATAGTCCATATTCTTCGCTGCAGTTTGCTATCTTATTCACCAATGTCTGTAGTCTTCAAGTGTTTCTGCGATCAGAACGGTGTCGTCGGCAAATCTCAGATTGTTTAATCTAACGCCATTTATTTTAAAACCTATGGATTGCTCAGAGAGTGTTCATTACGTCTCGGGAATAGAGATTAAACAGGGTTGGTGACAGTATACACCCTTGTCGCACACCTCACTTTATTTCAATTTCTTCAGGTATTATTCTCTACTCTCACTACTGCTTTCTGATTGTAGTACATATTTGCTATTAGTCGGATGTCTCGTTTATCTAAATTCTTTTCTGTCAGGAGTCTGATTAGGTGATGATGCCGCACTTTATCAAAGGCTTTGTTGTAATCTATGAAACACATGAATACATCTTGATTTATGTCAAGACATCTTTGAGACATAACGTTCAGTGCAAAAAACGCCTCTCTTGTTCCGAGTCCATTTCGAAATCCAAACTGGGTATTATTGATGTCCATTTCTAGTTTTCTGTGTACTCTAGAGTGTATAATTTTCAGGAATATTTTCAGTACATGGCTCATCAGAGTGATTGTACGGTAATCACTACATTGTTTGGCATTTATCTTTTTTGGTATAATAACAAAGGTGGATAAAAGCCATTCTTGTGGTATTTGGTATTCTGGTAGTATTTCTTGTGATCTTCTTTAAAGAGTAATAATTTGAAATACC